AATATCGTTCTTGCAGTTTGAAAATATTAAAAATCGAAACACACTTTGAATTAATATTCTTAGCCTCCTTGTTTCAACCCCCTAGGACGGGTAGTATGCTCCATTCATATCATTTTTAAAAAGTTCAAAAACTGTTACCGAAAGATCTAGAGATCCAAGGACAATTTTTTGTAATTTAATTTTAAATCAGAGTGTTTTCACAAAAGTATTATTTTCACTGATGAAGCCTGCTTTACAGGGAGGTGAATCAAAATCCACATATTACAATAACCCATCATACCCCAAAGAGAATTTCAAATAAATGTGCGGGTCGGAATCGTTGGGCGATATTTGGTTGGGCCAGTTATTTTACGTAATCGTTTGAACGGTACAAGTTATATGCTTTTCCTACAAAACGCTCTTCCAGAGCTTCTTCAAGATTTTCCTTTACAATTGGGGCTTGACATGTGGCATATGCACGATGGTGCGCCTCCGCATTTCTCTATAAACGTTCGTGAATTTTTGAACCTGCAGCTTCGAAATTAGAGTTTGTCGGTTTTTAAAAACCGGCATTTTGGGGAAAATTATGAAATTCGAAAACCGGGTTTTTAGTAGAAAATATCGGTTTTCAATGTATGAATAACACTTCAAAAAAATTTGAAAATTACAAATGTAGCCAAATGCACCAGATTGATGAAAACACAATTGCAAGCGGTTTGGTTCTTGGAATCACGTCAGTCCAATATGATTTCAAGAAACGGTGTGTTTTGTCTATTGGATGAATTAATTTATATTTTATATCAGTATTCTGGTTTATTTATGTACAGTTCATAAGTTCAGTAGGTAACATATTTTAATATTATAAAAATGTAATCTTTGTAGTCCTAAATCCCCACGTTTGACACTTGTGGAATTATTTCAAAAAAGTAGAAAAAGAAAAGGCCCGTTGTATTTATTGCAATAAAATGCTTACTTACAAAGGTTCAAGCACAAGCAGTCTACATAATCATTTGAAAACAGTGCACGATAAAATAACCGAGAAAAAATTATCTGAGCTGGCACGAGTTCACAAACAAGTACACAGCCCTGTATTTTTAACTTTGTGGAAAGGACTAGTTTAGAAGAAATTGTATCAAAGCTTGCTGCATTGGATGGCCTATCTATTAATTGCATAACAAATAGCTCCTTGATACGAGGATCATGGCAACAACGAAATTATTGCTTACCACAGAATAATTCTAGAGTTGTGAATCTTATTTATAAGTTTTATGAAACTATAAAAAATGAAAATATAAATGAATTCAATTGTATGAAGAATAAAGGGTAAAAATTTTCTATAACGTAGAGTAAAGTAGCCGTATGTGGAATAGTGCCTAAAATGTGGAATACCCCATTTGCGGAAAAACTAATATTGCCATATATTTGAAAATAACCTAATCAGAAGCTCTTTCTAAAATGTTTCACCCTTACCAACACCATGGAGCATTTTGCGGCTGCCGCTTGATGGTATTGGTTCGAACCCGAATTGTAACGGTTGCTATATTTTTGCACGTGTTTAAATCAACGTCTATTCTGACTACATTTATAATTTTTTTTTGCAAGATTAGTTTATAAGCGTAAAGGTAGGTAGTGAGTGATTGTGAACTGGGTGAAATATTTCATTAATATTTTGTTTGTAATGTTTTACAAACATGTTCTATAAATATTTAAAAGGTCGGTATTGTGGAATACTAAGTAGGGTTCAAACCCTACTTAGTTTATGCCGTTATGTGTGCCATGTGCAGCTGCTGGGCACACGAAGAATGCGCAGGTGCCAAAAAAGACCCATACACCTGTGAATTTTCTTCTTAGTTATTTTGTTCTAAGTTACCCTTGCTATTACTAATTTTTATGTTTATTTACTGCTTTTTTTGTATTTTATAATGTTATAAAATAAATGTGTGTTACTTTGCAATAATCTGTTGCTTTACGTAAAAAACACAAATTATTTTAAAATCAAGTCTAATATTAAACCGATTCCACATTAGTGTATATTGGCATTCCACATTACTCACCCATTTTTCAGCAAGAAAAAAAGTGCACTTTATTTTGAGATGGCTTTCCATACATACTTTTTCTTTGATAATAATTATAACTATTTATGTTTGAACGGTATTCCACAATCGGCTACTTTACTCTGTAGATGAATGGACTAGTAAGGGAAATCGAAGATATTTAAATATTAGAGAACATCAACTTGAAAAAGATTTTAATTTAGGATTAGCTCCCATATCAAGTACTTGCAAAGCTAAAACAATGTTTAAAACTGGTTTCTGAGAAACTGAAAACTTTTAATCTTGATTTATCAACTGATATAGCTGTATCAACAAATGATGGTGCTGCTGTTGAAAACATTTGGCCACATATCACCAGCGATTAATTAACTGTGTTATTCACATGCCATACACTTAGCAGTTACTGATATATTATATAATAAAAATAAAAGTCTATTGGAAACAGATTTAAATCCTAAAGTGAGGACTCTGAAAATGACGAATCTGATAATGACTTTGAAGAATTAGATTTTCTTGACATAAACAGTTATAAATTCCCGGTTCCTGCATTATTGGATGATAAAAATATTGTTTGTAAAGTAAAGAAAATTTGCGAATATTTTAGAAAATCCCTTGTGAAAAATAGCATTCTTCAGAATCACACGAACCGGAAATACGAGAAAGAATTATTATTGATTGTAAAACAAGATGGAATAGTTTAGAGGCCATGTTAGAAAGATTTGTACACCTAAAAGAATGTGTTCTTTTGACTCTGAATGACCTTAATGCTTCTCATATGTGGAATGAAGATGAAGAAGAATATTACAAAGTTGCAGAACTTCTTAAACTTTTAGGTCCGATAAAATTAGCAGCCGAAGATTTAGGTAGACACGACGCAAATTTATTAATAAGTGAAGGTATATCTGAATTTTCGCTGGGCGAAGTACAAAATTTGAAATCCGAAATTAATGAGAAATTATTACACGCTATAAAGGCACGGATTGAAGAAAGAAGAGATACAGTATTAGTTGTTACACACTTATTCTTTATTTACAAAGTTCTCAAACTGTTTTAACGAAATCTTCTAATTAATTCCTTCCATTAGCAACGAAAAGTGGCATTATTAAGTTATCCGGACAAATATTATCAAGATTATATAAATATTACTCTACAGAGGAAGAATGTGATATTCACAAACGTGATATTTGAATGGTGAATATTTTATAGAAAAATGCAATGGAAGTGACAATTAATAAATATTTAAAGAAACCGGAAGAAGTGACTTCCTCTACTCAAACTCTAAGAAAAGAGTTTTTGCTCAGGCTTTATTATCAGGCTTTAAAAACGATTAAGCCTAATTCGGTTGCAAGTGAGAGGGTATTTTCTATTTCGMGGAATTTTGTGAATAAACTAAGGAAGCTTCTAAATAGCAAATCGATAGATGGCCTCTGTTTTCTGAAATCATATTCCATAAAACAACAAAATAAATGGAATATTTAAATTGGCATTAAAATTACGCGGAATAGAAAATGCTCGGTCCGTTACATAATTGTCTTTAAAACTAAAATTGATTTTAATAAGTATGCATGCATAAACTTTATTAACTCTTGTCTTTCGGCTTTGATTATAGTTTACATTATATAATACACAGTTATATATTTTCTAATTGTTTTAACTAAGTATCCATCTGTATCTAATAACATTGTTTTAAAAAAAAACATATGGTTATTATAAAAATATGAAAGTTGCATAAAAAAATTTGACTATCAAGAAAATTGAACAGTAAATAAGTTCAGTCACTAACTGCTTTTAATCACTTTCAATTTTTTGTTCGAATTACAGCATAATCGAGCAAAAATTTTTTTTATAGAAATTCAAACCCGTTAAAACCGGTTTTCTGGAAAAATTACCATTCGAAAACCGGTTTTCTAAAATGTCGATTTTTTATAAACCCTATTCGAAATCCATGGATAGATAGTTGCCGGAAATTATTTCCCGCAACGATGGCCAGCGCGATCGCCAGATTTGAATAAGTGCGATTTTTTTCTGTAGGGGCTTTAAAAGAATTTGTATATTGAACTCCTGTTAAAATTATAGAAGATTTTTAGAACCAGTTATAAATGTACTATTAAAAAAAATGACAATTCAATTATTGGATAAAGTTGACTTTAATTTTTGGCGAAGAGTCCGTTTATTCTTAAGAGAAAACCGAGGTCATTTTGAACAGCTCGTTTAATTTATTAAATTAAAATTGAATAATTTAAACTTATTTAATTTTATGAAATACATTTCATAATAAATTAAAACATTTGTTACATTTTTGTGATTTTTTATTTGAATTAGCGCTACAGCCGATAAACTTCAATTATTGTAAATTAAATTAAATTTAAAAAATAACTTTAAAGATAACTTGTCAGCTATACCTATTTTTACTTCGACTTGCACTTCAAACTTTCACAAGAAAAAGTAAACAAAAGGACACAAAAAAATTATGGAAAATCACCCAGAAACCCTAAATGAACATATGTGTGTGCAAATAACTAGAAAACGGAGGCAAATTCGAACAAAATCTCATAAACTGTAGAAGTACCCATATATTTTGTAAACTTGAACACCTTTATCTCGTTAACCATGAGCCTGTAAAGAAAAAACTTTAATTAAAACTCGACTTGTTTTGAGGTTCTCTGTACGCCCCTGCTCTATATCCATAAGGTTGTGAATCACCCTGTATTTAGAATTTGGAATATATTTCTAAAATTGTTTTTTTGTTTGTCTATGATAGTTTGCCATCTATAGATGGCGGTGGTTCCCAGTGGGACACCCTGTACATACACAATCTGCGTTCCAGTAGAGTATTATCGGGTAGCCGGGTAGATTCAATGGCACGGGAAAATAATTACGAATTACCTGCTTTGCAGGAACACTTTCTTCCCCCTTTCTTGCGACTATTCATTCCACTTGTACTCTCCTTAAAACAAAAACACTTACCAAAAAGGTACACCCGAGCAAAATCTGTAAAATTAGACAACACTGCAAGGCACATTCCAACACATAACCAGTTTAAAGAATATTTTTAGATTGTTAAAGGTGGTAACACTACGACACAACACTATACATTTAAGGCAATACGCAATAACTAAAATTCAAATGTTTATCAGTCTTAAAATACACTTTGAAAACGACAAAAAATCAAAGTAGAAGTCACGTGTTTAGATTTCACTTTTGCGGTGAAGAACGCGGCCGACAGACTGGCAACAATACTTACTATACGTCCTTTTGCGGCCGCCTGAGTACCGTTACCAGTTTACCGCTTAAGTTTATAGCAAAGAGTTTCAGTTATAATAAATACGAAGGTTCGTCAATTTCTTTGTGTAATATTTTCGATTTTTATTCGCTTTGATTCCCGCATCAAGCATTTCATTACGAAATAAAATTTCTTTTTGTACTTAAACAGCACTGTTTTTGCCTATGGGAAGCAAAATAGCACAATCCGTTGACCTGGTTTATAAAGGTATTTAAAATGCATCTGATGATATTTGAACAACTAATGATCTGGCGACCTAACGCGGTGTTCCGAAAACTTTTTGTGTTTTAGGTACTCCTACGAAATCAAGAAATTGGATTTTGGTATTTTTTTCAAGCGATGACCCATTATGAAATAATTATTATTATTCTTCATAGTTTGAAATCATATAACTAGAAAAAACTG